ATACGTTCGTGTCATCGAAGATAACGGAGTTGGCAACTCAAGTATAAGATCACAACCTGCGGCGTCTGGTCCAAAGTGGGCGACCACAAAAAGCGTCGGACCCAGAATGGGTGGCTGAAACAAACACTCACCAACACGTTTAGACAGCGTGGTGTTTAAAGGCTAAATACTCCTCACAAAAATGTCAGTTGACAACACGAAAATACCCCAGGCAACTAGGAAATTATTTCCAGAATCTCTCACTGATAAATTATCAGTCTATCCCATGGATTCTGGGGTGAACAAAAGATGAACAAAGACAGGAAAAAGTTACTCGAATAAGACGACACTTTATATTATAGGAACGTATAATGCACGTTTGCTACTATCCGATGAAAGACTTACTGAACTTGAGTGCGAACTAGAAAACATAAAGTGGGACATAGTCGCTCTCAGCGAAGTCAGAAGACGTGGCGAACACTTAATTAAACTAAAATCAGGACATAGTTTTTACCACGTAGGTGACGACAATAATTCCTTGGGAGGAACCGGCTTTATTATATACAAGCATCTCCAAACAAGTATAGTATCACTTAAGAAATTTTCCACAAGAGTGGTTTGTCGTACTCTTAAATTGAATACAAGGTATAACAAGAAAATAATACAGGTTTATGCACCAAAAACAGACCATGATGAAGAAGTAGATCTATTCTATGATGATATCGAAGCTGCTCTTAAAGACATCAAGGGCATTTTAGTTTTATATGTGGTGATTTTAACGCCCAAACAGGAATGAAATCCAACCCTACAGAAACACCACTGGTAAACTTTGGCTTGGATGGTAGAACTGCACGTGGAGAAATACTGTTAAGATTCATGTTGCAACATGAGCCATTCCAAATAAACAGTTTTTTTTAAAGAAACCACAAAGAAGACATGGCAAAGTCCAAATGGAAAAAATCAAAACGAGATAGATCTTATTATCATGGACAAAATATTCACCGTTAAAGACATCACGATTAAAAACAGATTTATTACCAGAAGCAATCATAGAATGATACGAAGTCAAATAGAAATAAGCTTAAAGAAGGAGAGCTGTAAGATGATGTGAAAAGAAGAACAAATCGAAATCATGGATGAAATCATCAGATGTAAATACTTTTCAGCAATGTATTTCCTACATACTTAATAGTCCCGAAACAGAAAATAATATAAACGACTTAATGCAGAAAAGAAGAGAAATAAGAAGCGAGACGGAACTAAAGCCGACGAACTACAAAAATTAAATAAAGAAATATCTAAAGCTGTTAGGCAAGACACTCAGAAATACAACCAAAAGCAAATCGAACATACCATTAAGAACAAGAGAAGTATGAAAGTACTGAGAAAATTACTAAAAACAGGGACAAAGCAGATAATAAAGATTAAAGTTAGAAATGGTCATCTTACAATTAACAGAGAGGAGACCCTTAAAATAGTGGAAGACTTTTACAAATTGCTGTACACAAGCCAACATAAAGCAAATAGCAGAGAAGATCAAGTACCAGAAATATTACCAAGGTAACAGAATATCAAATTTCCAGGCGAAGATTGTTTTACTAATGCGATCATAATCAGAGGCACTTGCCTACTTAAGAAAATAAATCCCTTTTCAACGTGCCTTTTGGACAGTAATATACCCTTCACAAGGAATCTACGTTCCTGTAGTTGGCTGTATACCATGTATTAAAAAATTTAACTAAAATTAACGGGTAAAAACCCGTTAACCCGTTACCCATATATTTAATCTTGGTGGCTACATTCATGTACTCCTAGACACTGATGATGGAACATGGATTTCGAAAACGTTATGTCTTTTTAACTTAGCCCGTTTGGGCCTCAAATATATACCTTTTACAAAGGATTTTTAGTTAAATTTTTTAGTAATATACCCGATAAATTGTACAATGCTATTGAGTTAATTCTATTGTACAAAAAAAGAGATCCCCATAAATTAGAAAATTACAGACCTATAAGTCTTCTTAGTCACCTATATAAACTCCTTACAAGAATAGTAACGAATCGTCTTGAGAAAAAACTTAATTTCTACCAGCCAATAGTGCAAGCGGGAGTTCGTACCGGATTTGGAACAAATGATCACCTACAGAGCATTAAAACGTTAATAAAAAGGACATCGAACACAATCGACCACTCGTTCAGGCTTTTGTAGATTTCCATAAAGCGTTTTCACGGTAGAATTTGACAAAATCCTGGAAGCACTACAAGCATGCCGCATTGACTATCAATATACAATATTAATTTACAATACATACAAGAACCCAACTATGTCGGCGAAACTACATAAAACACGGACCATATTCTAATCAGCAGAGGAGTCCGACAGGGTGATACCTTATCGCCTAAACTGTTTACCGCAGTACTAGAATATGCTTGTAAATAACTTAACTGGGAAGAGAAAGTCCTGGACATTAACGGTAGAAGATTAACAAATTTGAAATTCGCAGACGACATAGTTTTGTTCTCGGATAACCTCAAGGAGATATGTACAATGCTGCATGAACTTCTCTCATTTCATCTTCAAAATAAAATTCATGGCAAACCTAGTACCTAGCGGAAATATCAATATTGGAGACAACGAAGTAGAGTTGGTGAAAAAATACATATACTTTGGACACGAAATAAAGATCACAAGGGACAACCAAACATGCAAACTACGAAGAAGAATAAACCTAGCATGGGCAGCCTATGGAAAACTCAAAGACATATTTAAAATCGATTTCTTTAAAACGTAAAACATTTGACCAATGTGTGTTGCCTGTGGTTACTTATGGTGCCGAAACTTTGACATTGACAGATCTAAAACGCTGCAAATAGCTCAGAGGAGAATGGAAAGGCCAATGTTGAGGATATCGCTTCGTGACTCGTTGGACTGACAATCTCAAGAAAATGTCAAGATATTGGATGAAAACTCTTCAAGAGTAAGAGCAAGATGGACAAAAATGAGGCAGGCCTATGTTCAGTAGTCGACGCAAAGGGTTGAGTGACGATGATTAGTAATAGGATATGTCGAAAAGCAGAGCAAAATTTACATTTTCCATAGGAGTTTATATTTTGCTGGAATCACTTCAGGATGTACCTTGTACCAATAATCACATGCCCCAATTGCAAAAATTGTGCTTAATGTCTTATTTAACAACATCTGAAAAAAATCGAAAATTTTTGCTCTTTGCGCCCATATTTTCACCTATAACCCGAGAAATATTGCTCGAAATATTAAAAAACGTTTCCTTTTTTTAATGTTAAACAAGTGACTCAATTGATGATAGTAACATCGAGTGTTCACCTGAAGATGAAAATTAAATTAAATTTTGTCGTTATTCTTGAAATACTCACATAATAATTTTTATAAGGTATTTATATAGAATTAATTTAATTTTATACCTTTAGAATTTTCATTTTCAAATTTAGATGTGAATATATTTTCGAAAGTCTTTATTACATCGCTAAACTGCTTTCAAGAAAAGTATTAAAACAGGTAGAAGTTCTAGGGACATGAGATTAGGCCTGTTTATGAGCATATAATTATTTCTCACAATATTATATATTGGTATTCAATTAATCTATACCCTCCTCCTCCTAAGTGCCTTCTCTATTGAGGTTGGCGATCAATATGGCAAATTTCTCTCTGTTCTGGGCTTGATGGATTAAGTCACTTCCTGTTGTGTGAGTCCAATCTCTGATGTTTCGGAGCCAGGATTTCTTTTTTCTTCCTATACCCCTTTTACCCTCGATTTTGCCTTCTAATATTACCTGGAGCTGCTCAAATTTCTTATGGCGCATTATGTGTCCTAGATATGACGTCTTTCTAATTTTGATTGTATTAACCAGATGAGGTTGTGTGTTCATTATTTCCAGTACCTCTTCATTTGTAGTTTTGCTGGTCCAGCTTATTCTTAGCATTCGGCGGTACATCCACATTTCGAATTAATTCAGTTTGTTGACGTCGTACTGTTTTAATGTCCAGGTCTCACAGCCATATAGTAGTAGAGACCACACATAACACTTTAGTGTTTTTAACCTTATTGTGATTGATAGCTTGGGGTGACAGAGCATTTTACGTATGTTCATGAAGCCAGATCTTGCTATTTCAATACGTCTTCTAATTTCTTTTGAGTGGTCTAGCTGACTGTTTAGCTCTCTGTCCAGGTATATGAAGCTTTGGGAGCTCTGGAGGGTGATACCATTGATTTGTATGTTGGGTGTAATTTGTTCATGGGGGTTCTTGTGGAATACCATGATTTTGGTTTTGGAAAGATTAATATCCAAACCTAGTCTGTGACTTTCTTCTGATAGTATGTTCATCAAATTTTTAGTTGGTCTTCTGTTTCTGCTAATACTATGGTGTCATCGGAATGTCATCAATCTATACCCAGAAATGAATAATCTTTTTGTACAATCAAAATAGTTTGTCTGGCAGGTCAAACGTATTACGCAGGTATTATTGTTTTTGTCTTATCAAATAGCTTTAGTTTACTGAACGTTTTTCAACTCTTTACTATATTAAAAAGTAAAAAATAACCTTTATTTAATATACGTTTTAGTAAATATAAACAATACATATTGTAAATACAACACACCACTGTCAGTTATTCAGAATGTATCTCTCAGTTACCAATCACCTAATAAAGACGGTTCGTATACAAAATCTATATTCGACAGATAATGCAAATTAGGGTCATCCGAAATGATGAAACCTGTTATATCCAATTTGTGGAAAAAGTGACAAGCTACGGCAAAACGGAGTTCATTTTTGGATTCATCAAAAAAAACTTGAAGACCTGTGGAATTGTTAAATTATTAAAAAAAATAAATTCAATATTGGTAAAACAAAAAAAAAAGAAGAAATATTAATAAGTACTATAACATTTTTGAAAACATGTTTTTTAATTTGTCCTTGATATTTTTATAAAGATGTAAATTCGAAATAAATTTCTAAATTATTTACTTTAATATTATCTTACCTTAAAAAATATTCCTAAATAGTAACGTTTTTCTCCTAATTTTAGTAAAGGCATAGTCCACCTACTAGTTGAGCGTGCATCTTCTTCTACACAATTTGGACAGTCTAAAAAGAAGAACAGATGTTTAAAATTATGAGAAGGTTGCTGGCACATACTCGTGAATGTTAGAGAAAAAAGGTCTTATTTATATCTACAATACGAAATAGGTAAAAAATTGTGGAATTTGTTTAAAGGTATTAAAATTTAAAATTAATTAAAATTAAAATTAAGGAACACATAGGTAACCATTTTTATAACTCAGCTCTTCCAACAAACAGCTGACGTTATCTACAGTAACTTAGTTCAAGCAGCCTAAACGCATGGGTTATGCTTCAAAAATAAATATCTACCATCATACATCTAATGCATCTGGACAATTCCTTGTACTGATATGTAAGTATTCTTATTTTATTACATATAAAAATTACTCATTAGAGTAAAGCTAGTCCATTTGAAACACACTTTGTTTTTTTTATATTCTTCTTAAGGTACCTGTTTGTTTGGAACGTTCCCGATCATTCTAGCTATGATGACTTTGTATGTTTCTATATGGAATAACTGTGTTGAGATCTTTCTATACCATGCTCTCAGATTAGCAAGCCAGGAAATGCTCCTTTGTCCTGGGACCTTTTTCCTTAAATTTTACCGTGCAAAATGCATTGTAGTAGCTCATATCTACTTTGATTTCTCATGATATCGCAATAATGCAGCTTACTGCCCTTCACGCTGTTGACCAATTCCGCGGTTGTGTTCATCCTCCGTAGTACTTATTCATTGGTGACTTTGTCTATCCACGGTATCTTTAGGATTCTTCTGTATGACCATAGCTCAGAAGCCTGAAGTTTTGATAGTTTCCGCCTTCAATATCCACGTTTCTACTCCGTACAGAAGCGCTGAGTATACGTAACACTTAAGGAACCTTATTTTTGTTTCTATGGTGAGGTCATGGCTCTTGAATACAAAGCTCATAGTCAAGAATGCGACTTTCCGATACGACGTATAGTCTCTTGGGTATTGTCCCATGACTCATTGATTATAGTTCACAAGTAGTTGTACTGTGAGACACGCTCAATTCTCATTTGGTTCACATAAAGATTTGCTCCAGTTATGGTTTCCTTGCTGATGATCATTAGCTTGGTTTTGCTGGTGTTTATATCCAGTCCATATGTTCTACTTATTTCCGTTATTTTGTTTATTAAGTTTTGCAGCCGCTCTATGGTATTGGAAAACACTATTGTATCATCTGAATACCGCAGGTTATTAAGCTTGACTTCATTTATTGAGCTGTGTTGTAAAAACAACTTATTTACTATTGTAATTGTTTTTAGTTATTGTATCAACTTGTACGTCACCTCTCGTGTTAATGTGTTTGTTACCCTCTCTCCGTCATAATCTCTCCTCACCCCGCCTTAAGGACTTAGTTTAAGACTGTATCTCGATGTATCTTTGTTACTGCCTCCTAGCACGTAAAGCTAATGATATTTGTACAACTCTTTTTAGTTTAATCAGAATGCGATAATTTTAATGTTGAATCAGCCCTATAAGTTCATTACAAATAAATCGAAGGAAAAATACGTCTAAGTGTTTTATTGCTTCAGTGGTGTTTGATAAATATTTTGAAGCAATCAGATGTTCAACAACGCCTCTCTTAAATGTGGAATATTAGGTAACAAATTTACCCTCTCCACCAGAGATGCGTTCATCAATATCTTTTAGAGTCTCTTCAAAAATGTGCTCTGAGTACAGATTAAAATTGTAAGTACAGTGGTGAAATTATGCACCCCTATCTCACTCTACTTAAGATTTTGGCCTGATCTGTATATTCTCCATCTATTCGGAGCACCGCTGATTGATTCCAATACAGGTTAGCTATTATTTTTAGGTCTCTTTCATCAATTCGTGTCCTCTTCAGTACTTCCATTATTTGTTCATGCCTGACTGTATCGAAAGCCTTCTTGTAGTCAATCACGCATATAAAAACACAGCTGACATCTCTACATTTCTGAAACAATATCTGCACGGTAAATAAAGCTTTCTCCGTACCAACGGCGTTTACAAATCCAAACCGATTGGGCGCAATTTGTTCCTTGCATTTCCGGTAAATTCTTTTGTGGGTGACTTTAAAAAACAGCTTCAGCAGATGGCTCATTGCGCTTATGGTCCTATAGTCTTCACAAACTTTTGCTCATGTTTTTTTGGGCAATGGGACGAACTCCAATGTGAGCCACTCTACTGGTATTTTTCCTGCCTTGTATATATCAATAAATATTTTAGTTATTATTTTTCTTTATTCTGCATCTAATAGCTTTAACAGTTCTGCAAGAATTTCATCAATTTAGGGGCCTTTCCATCTTTTATCTGGCTGACGGCTGTCGTTATTTCTTCTGGTAGGGTTTCGGGAACTGAATTTTCTTCAATGGTGAGTTCCTGCATTATTCTAAAGTCATGGAAAAGTTTCTCCAAGTATTCTTTCCATACTTTCTTTTTATCTTTTTTGGGTATGGCAAGATTGCATTCATCATCTGTTATTTTTCCGCTGTTGCGTTTTCGCTGTTGGCTTCCCTTATCTTTCTTATGACGATGGTATGTATTCTCTTATATTCTTTGTTTTCTTTGTTTTTTCTCTGATCCAGAAGTTCAAGTATTTCATCGGTCATCCACGATTTCCGTTTCTCTGTATCTTTCTTCAGGTGTTGTTTTATTTCTCTCAGTGTTTCTTGTATCATGGTTCTTTTTCTAAGTTCTTTTTCTCCAAAATTCATACATATACAGAATATTAAGGTATATGGTTCCACTCAACATTATTATTTTAAATTATATATACATTCAAAAGCTGATTGATAATTAAATCTAGTTTTTTCCAGATTTTGTTTTCATTAATGCACAAAACAAAACAAAAAACCCATCGTACCCATCAATTTTTATTTATAAGAGGACATACGTATTTTGTAAATATCATTTACACAATTTAACCGCCAAAGCAGGGTGATTTCCCAAAATTTTAAAGAGGAAAGGTTATCATGTAATACATTATTTTAATAGTTATTTATTGCACAAGACGATAAAATTGTACTTTATCTTCGAGAGCATTTTTAAGCGTCGAGACGTCAGTCGAGACGCTAATTATGCTCGAGAAGATAATGCGTTTTTATCGTCGTGTGCAATACATTTTTTTCTATAGCAAGATTTTAAGTTCAGGTGAAAAATAGAATTTCAAAGAAAACTGTAATTTTTAGCACAAAAATTGCAATTGTGTTGCTCCGTTGCTAGGGATATGAATTACTCTGTCAACAAATGTGAAACAAATTTTACAGAAAATCAATCCAGTACCTCGAATCAAGTTTTTAAGCAAACGAGTACAAGTTGTAATGCTCCAAAAATAGATATTTCTAATAATGTTAATTGTAAAATTTCAGTTGTTTTTAATCCTTCCTAATGTGTTTGAATTTGTAAATTTTATTGAATAAAAAAAGTTAAAACATTTCATCTACTCTTGCTGTTAAAGTGCCACTTCATCTACCCTTGCGGTTAAAATGATACTTTCTCTACTCAAAACAGTTGTTATAGCAACACTTTAACATTAGCTATGGAAAAAAGGTTATTTATTTTTCTATTCACCAGTGCTTCATATGTTTATTTTGGATGACAGAGGTCAGTTTTTACCTGAACAAAAAGTAAACTGATAAAAAATTTAACAACCAAACCAAATAAACAAAAAATTTGGCGCTACTTCTATTAAAATGAAAAAAAATCCTACAAAAACTATTTTACACCATCTATAATAGAGGACATATTTATCAAGATTGGCTAAAATTCACATTTATGTCTATTCCTAAGAAAACAAGCGCAAAAAGAATTAATGAGTTTAGATTGATCAGTTTGATGAGTCAGGTATTAAAATTGTGTTCTGAAGATTCTTTCAATTATATTTTGTAGATTATACTGTAGCGTGTTTAAAATAAAACTAGTGGTTCTAATTTATTTAAAACTATTTATTTATAAGCCTACAACACGATATTTTCTTATCAACTAACTCCCTCCTAAGAGCGTTCCGTTTTATATACCGAAAGCATCGACTATGGAATCTTCTCGCTCAGCTCATCTATATTCTATGTTCTCGAATACAATCGCTAACGCCAGCAATCGTATATTCTGGTGTCATCCTTCTGAGAATTGTGACACATGATCCGTCAGAGGTACGCTATTTAGTTATAATACTAAAGCGCTTGACTGTGTCATACATAATACCATACTAAATATTCTGGAACGAAAATGTTTGGACTCCAAAGATCTAAAAATTATTCCGTAAAAGTGAATGGAATGTTGATAAATAATTGAGGATATACCGTTAAAATGGAAATGGGATGGGCAGCGTTCGGCAAACTTTCTTACGTTCTAAAAAATCAAACAATTCCTATATACTTACGAAGCAAGGTATATAACTCCTGTATAATACCGGTGCTCACCTACGGAGCACAGACATGGACATTTACACAAGCCAATTTGGATAGGATAAGGAAGGCACAAAGAGCGATGGAGAGACAAATGTTGAGTATATCACTTAAAGATAGAAAACGTAACCGTTGGATCAGAACCAGAACAAAGACAGTAGACGCGATAGAACAAGCAGCAAAACTGAAATGGAAATGGGCTGGACACAATGAACGTCTCCAAGACGGACGATGGAACAATGCCATCGGAAAGTGGCGTCAATACAATGCAAAGAGATCGAGAGGCAGACCACAGATGAGGTGGAAAGATGACATCAGAAAACAAGGAGGTCCCACTTGGCAGAGAACAGCTCAAGATAGGGAAAGATGGAGAGAACTGGGGGAGACCTATATCCAACAATGGAAGTATATAGAATAGGTTCAAAAAAAAATTACCGTTAACACAGTTATAATTGCAGACAGTTTGAAGGGCTTGCAGCGTTTGCTTAATAAAATGTTCGCTGAAGAAGATCTATTGGGCTTAAAACTCAACACTGAATAAACAAATATATTACTGATAAATTGAAATAAATTAAAATAAATAAATTAAAATCGAGTTTGCCAAATCAAAAATC